TCCATTCTTAAATTCATATATTTTCCTCGATGCAGACAGCTAGCGGTGACTCTCGTCAGTCACGTATAGGATGTGGTGATAGATTTCAGCCGAATTGCACTAATATTTGATTTTTAATACCTTTACTTAAATAATGTCAATAAGCACTGCAACTACATAAATTAGTTACAAATAAATGAATAAACTGAATAAAGAAAACATATATCTGAGCGTTCCACATCGAACGAGAAAATTCATTTGGTTGTTACCAAATACCAGAGCCCAGTCAGTACGTTTTGTAGAATAAGTAAAATTCAAATAAACGTATACATGATATGTTTTTTGAATTTTGTTATTAAATATTTAATACCTATGCATGGAATGCTTTCAGCAGACGTAGAAATGTCCTTTTCTTTTACTTTTTGCTTCCAGTATTGTTTGTATTCTACAACAAAGGAAAATTTCTGTATTATATAGTCTTTTTGTTCTTCTTATTCTATAGTATGTGTAGTAAATTGAAGTATATTGTAAGTGTGTTTGTCGCTTATAGCAAGCATGGGCAGCCGCCGGCCCATGAGGACGTCTAGACCGGGCCGCTGTTTTTAAAATTTCGACCAATTTGCTCGCACATGGCAATGCTGTCAATGAGTTGCATTCAGCTTCACTACCGGCTCAACTACGCGGCGGAAAATGTGTCTACGTGCGTGTGCGTGTTTTTTTTAAGCCCATCACCGAAAATAAGGGGGATATACTCACTTTTTTGCTAAAATGCTTACAACTCCCAGAAGGAAGAATCAGAGACCCCACAAATTTTAAATTGATTTAAGCATGTTCGTCTGCCCGTCTATTGTAAATATTCTCCTGGCCGGAAAAATAAGGCTATCGACTTCAAATTTAGCAGACACATTGGAAGTTTGTGCTCGCATGCCTGTATCGAAAATAGATCAAATCGGTCAGAGAATACGCCAACTACACCAGAAAAATGTACAAAAATTTGAACGCATATTCTATGGGCTACATTGTAGCTCCGGTAGGAATATGGAAAAAATTAACCACGCCTACCTAATATTAAAATGTATCAAAATTATGTTTTTTTTCCAATCCTTTTTAACGCGCAGAAACAAGCTGCAAAAGCCAATACTGTGTAAAAGAGTCCCGAAATTAAGGCCCATTACGTCGGTTATAACAAAACTAATCGTATTAATTTTATTCGTGGACCCTCCGTATCAATTCGTATATATTTTTGGGAGAAATTGAATGTAAGATGTTTTCTATTCCCCACCACGCAGAGATTCGCCTGAGTGGACGAGTAGTCAAGAAACTCGACTTGCAACTCAATGGTCGTGGGTTCAAATCTCAAGTGCGGTAGAGTTTTTAATAAAAGCCGAAAGCGTTACATGTTAGTGCTTTAAGACTTTAGCCTTCGAATTTGGCCAAATTTATAATAATAATAATAGTAATAGATCAACTTATCTGGGCGAAGTTATATTATGGTTAATGAAACTGACAAGAAAGCAAAGTTAGATCTTCGAGATGATCTGCCCTGACGGAAATTTAGAAACAGCTCCTCGAACAGAAGCATACCCAGTTTAACTCAACTAAGCATTTCGAAGTTTGTTGTAAATTTTAATTTTTAGCTTTTCGTTATTCCATTGAATCTATTCTGGCCCTAATCATGATAGCAAAATTGAATTGAAATTGATCCGTTGACGAAGAGAGATGCCCACCACTGTCTCAGAGCTTTTGAGCAGCATGTGACAGGCAAATTGATTAGCTTGTATTGCGGTTAAGTTACGATGACTACAATAGATGAAGCCGTTTTCTAAGACACACACTCAAACACATACACATACGCACGTTATGGTTTTGACCTTGAACTCGATATTGACTTCAATTACTCTAACCATCACCTTTTTTCTCTATATAAATTTTGGCCATATTATCAATATTATCCCATTATCAGGTGTTTGCTTCAATAAATAGGTAAATTTAAATGTTTTCAGAGTTCTTGTCAATGCTGTATCGTATTTAACAAACATTCCAGTTATATTACCTATCTTCTGTTACCCAGGTTTTCATAGTACTAAAGAGGCTTAATATGTCAGTCTCATTAAAAAATATTTTTGCCTACGTACGATAGATAGAACAAATATTTCTATATATGTATACGTACTTTCGGACACTGGTATCTTATTATTATATATCGCGATATAGCAATCCGCGGCATATTATCCGGTATCCGTACTCGCAATTTTTTACTATGTTAAGTAAAGGAAAATCAACCCAATTATTATACAAGTTAAATAAAATTGGAAAATTAATATATACATATATAAAAACTCTAATATTGTTATAATTATTATTATTATTATTAAAGAATTTTACATTAACCTTTTTTCTGAAAATTCGGTGAACGACGGGTACGATATTTTCCGCTAAAAAGAACTAAGCTGATAGCTAGAGCAAGTATTGCCCTTCTAACTTATACTGAATTATACATATATATTTGCACATTTATATTTGACTTTGCATTTTATAACGTAAGTTGCGCTAGTAATTTCTGTCTGTTGTTCGTTAGCGATCCGTTTTATTTTGCGGATGGCTATATGTTATCAGCTGCCCATCGTGTCTTCTTTGCTAAGATGGACCCATTGCAGTAATGGTAGAACGACATGGCTATCAAATGTGAGTCAGTTTGACGCTCTTGTTTCTCTTTCCTCGAGTGGATGATTGGTCATTTTGTTTTCCAACTTTCAGTTCATTTTTAAAATATTCCTTTTTATTTATTAGCATTCATTACGAGTGCAATGTGGGTCAAATATACTAGAACCTGCATCTTCCGGGTGGGAGCCGGACGATCGTACAGTAGGCTATTATTATTATTATTATTATTATTTTAAATTTTCTTGCAATTATTATAATTATTTTGCTTATTTTTTAATGGCATATAGTTATGAAATGTGTGCTCCATATAAAATGTCTGATCGAAGAAAAGAACCGGATATCGTTGACGAAATTAAAGTTACCACGTTACTGGGAACAGAAATGTAGGCTGTTTTTGACGAACCAGTAGTGGTACTAGGCAATGCATACTGCAGTCTGAAAACGGCCCTCAATTTTTAAGGTTCTAATCAATCTCGTCAAATCTTTTGGTTCAGAACATCGTATAGTGTGTGGCGTTATAAAGTGTTCGCAAAACACCTGGTCTCTGATTTGAATAGACGGACTCACATTCAGATTAAATATGAAGCGACGTTTCGCTCCTCCGTTGGCAGAATCTGCATAAATCGGTGTAATGCTGCACATTCCCACAAACTGTCTTTCTTAGAAGTGTCAGTTTATTGATATTTGTCCTTGTACGCTGCATAAGAACTGTTAGATGCACTTTTTTTTGAAAAAAAAATACACGTTAGTGGTAAAGTATTGCCTTTAATTTTATTAATTCCAAAATTTTAATAAATTTGCTTTTATTTTTTATTAAAAATAGAAGGGAAGGAAAACCTTCTTTAGTCTCTAAATTATTTATGTATATGATATATGGCAATAAGTTAATTATCAGAACAAAAATATAAGAATATTTTACAAAGCAAATATTGAACATGTAACTGACGACATTGTCATTGGCTAATACCGACCCTTAAATACTCTATTATCCGCCTTGCACAACCCTTTGCTTGTTTTTCGTGAAAAAACAACAATATTTACATCTCATTTCCAACATACTTTTCATGGAAGTTCTTATAAGCTCTTACTAACGTATGAGCAGACAAGTAGAAAAGAATCGCGGCTACCAAGTCTCAAACCAAGCTAGAATGTACTTCAGTCGTAGTTATATTCAATGCTTAGTTTGTAAAGGCATACAACTTACCGATTGAGTAGACATCCAAAAACCTAAGGCCACAACTTCTCCATCTGGGTCTCTTACCTCGCTTCTTTCCCACTTCCATCGCTTTACGCGGATCGAGGACATCTCCTTAGTGACTGCTTCATATTAAAAAAGGGGAAAAATTTTTTTTTCCAAAATTAATTATATCCTCACAAATCTTATTATTATTGCTCTTTGTCTAGTATGTTCGCAATAAGAAATTAGAAATTAGAGTTTGCTGCTTATTTTTCACGGTGAATTCGAAACAATTAATGTGCGTGGTCAAATGTGGTTGACTACTATTTCGGCTCGGTGCTATGGGCCAATTTTCAGTACAAAATTCAATTGTTCAAAAATTAAACCGTTTTTCTACATAAAGACTTATTTGACGTAGGAATGGTTATATGAGAGAAAATTCAACGCATTAATCCATTCGAGAACGAGTGATTGACAAAACAGTTTAGGAAGATTGCAAACGCTTTTTAATACACCGCAAATTCGTTAAAATAAGGCATAATATGAGGAGTGATCGTAAAAATGGTCTGATCGAATGGGTTGTCGATAGCTTTCGTCCTTGAGCTAGAACATGTCAATGTATCAAGTTTCTTGAAAATATTTGAAAAATTTTCCACCTATAGAACGATCCACAAAAATGCATGAACAAACATTAAACATACAAGTTGAAGATGATTTAAAAAAAATATCTGAAATGATCGGTATAATAAAAGGTTAAAGTGTAATTTAAACGCTTCTGTTTTACATCCATTCGCACAAGCTTGATATGCTTTGTACCACCAGCGATAAAAGACTGCAAATTGACTCGTAAAGTGATGTATAACTCTCGCAACATATTAGTCATTGAACTGCAAAATTGGCATAGATTCGAGGAGTATAAAGAAATATGAAACACTCATCTAGCAATGATTGGCGTTACTTTATAAATTATTTTATTTACTTTAAAAAAAAGTAAATAAATAAACACACAACTTAATTAAAAATTCTGAGAAAATTTTAAAAAGTTAATTATCATATGGAAAATTTTCGGTTTTTTCATCTAATGTTGACTTCTTTATCAGAATTTAATTAAAAAAACACATGACGGAACAGTTCGGACAAAGCATTAAATGAGCGCTTGCATCGTATTACGATTACCTATTAGGTTCTTAGCAAAGCGATATAAAAGTTGTGAGTTTACCTAAATATTCAGTATTCAGTCAGTGAACTATATCTCAATATCAAAATGAAGAGCTCTATTGCGACGGTACTAACTTTACTGCTCCTTGCAGTGCAAGGAAAGGCTTTTACATCCAGACTTCAACCGCGTATCGTAGGCGGTAGAAATGCAATTCCAGGGCAATTTCCTTACGCGGTATCCTTAAGGTATAATAACGTCCATATATGTGGTGGTTCCATAATATCTGCTAATTATATTTTAACTGCTGCTCATTGCGTTACAACTGAAATTGATGGCGAAGTTTTCGAGTAAGTTTTCCCAAAATCTTTTTTGTACGATTTTAGAAATAGAGAAACCTTAATGACTTTTTTTTAGTACTGCATCACGTTGGCTTTCTATTCGGGCCGGCTCCCTTCACGTAGGAACAGGAGGCGTAGTTGTTCCAGTTTCTGAACATACCAAATTTCCTAGTTACTTTGGCAATTTGGGCGACATAGCTGTCGTCAGGCTGGCCCAATCTTTAAATTTCACTGAACAGATAAGACCTATAAATTTAGCTCAAGCGGAACCACCAAATTTTGTAAGTATTGCAGCTGCCGGTTGGGGTCGTTTATCAGAGGACGGTCCCAGGCCGGAAATTTTGCAATACACCTCTATGATCAGTTTATCTCATAATGTATGTAATATATTAAATCCACTTGTCGACGAATCATTCTTATGCTTGTTACCAAGTCGACGTAATACTAATGGTGTATGCAACGGTGATTCAGGTGGACCAGCTGTATATAATGATCGCTTGGTGGGTGTTGCCAATTACATTAGTGAAAGCTGTGGTGCACCACATCCTGATGTTTTTGCCAATGTAGCTCATTATGCCAACTGGATTAGAGAAAATTCGGATCTTGAAAATGCCGATGTGGCAAGTTCCAATTCAGAAAATGTTAACTCAGAAAATTCTAGTACAGAAATTGGAAATTTAGAAGTGTAAAAATCAATATAATGAAAACAAATAAATAGCAAATTGCAGACAAAAAGCGACTTGAGCAATTTCTTATAACATTACAAAACAAAGGGAATACGCGAATGTCGCTTAACTGTTTTTATTTATTGCGCAGAACGTGACCATTTTTAGAAAAAATCCTTACATTTTACTTATAAGTTTACTTGCCGGCTTTTTATGCCGGACACTATAGATTAAGCTTGTGCGAATATATGCAATACCGGAACCGCTAGGTATTGATGAATGAAAAAGCATAAATATATATATATAATACCGATTTTTATGCCCATCACCGAAGGACGAGGCTCATATTAATTTTGTCAAAACGTTCACAGCCGCCCATACGGATGCTTTAGAAAATCCACAAAGTAAAGCATCAAATTCTAAATCGATTTAGGCATGTTCCTCTGTCTGCGTGACCTTCTGTTTGCCAAAGGTTTTAAGTGCATAATAGCGCATGCTTCTCGATCATTAGAAAGACATAAAGGAATGTCTGCTTCATATTGTCTTACCAACTTTGGACTTCAAGTTAAATTGAGTCACACCCTATCCCAATTATGTTCTTGCAGCGTTGGAATTCTTTTTTCTATTTCTTTTTCCTCTACTTATTCTTATCTCAGGAAAACATCGCTCTGCTCAGCATCAGCATCGTCATGATGACTGAGGAAACACACAAAGCTATCACCTTTCGGCAGTGCCTTTATTTAGAAGAAATTGATCTTCCAGTGATTTATTCTATAGCCAACATGATGTCTGGAGTAGGCGTCTAAGCACATTTCTAATAGTAATTGAACTGACAGAATTACTGAAACCGCTATAGATGGAAAATTATATTTGGAGTGTAGAGTGTAACACCTAAACAAGTTATGGATGCTATCATCTCAGTGTATATGCAAAATAAAAGGCACACACTCACTCATCCATTTGTTTTCCCATGAAGTTGATGATAACGCGAAAAGTTGCTCAAATGTGTTATATTCCAGTGAAACACCTTTCGTATTCAATTTACTAAACATTTAATTAGCTTTCAAATAGTTCCGTTAAATGAGAGATTGCAAGCACGCGCCCTAGTTTCATTTTAGTTGAGTTATGTTAATGTCAGAATGAAAGCGAGAGTTTCTGTTTAATACGCCATTATTTGCGTTTAAAACATATAACAGCATATTCTTATTTGAGCACATTTTCGTATGAATTTAACAAAATTCATATACGCGCGTACGTATTTATATATTATATTATTTTCATGTTGTGTCAAAGTGTAGCAGAAAACATGAAATCAAATAACGAGATATAAACTTTCGCAAGAAAACAAGAAAAATTACATAAATCGTTCTGATGTTGATGCAAATCAGAGGTGTCCTATGGCTTGTAAAGTACTGAGCTGGGGCTGCCTAGCTAGCTCACGGAACATTATAGAAAAATTTAACAAAACAAGTACGCCAATACATATATATGATTATATGTTAATGCTGTTATACTATTTGTCCGTCCATTAATTTGTCCCATTATTTGTCTGTTTAATGTCATTGTCCCCTTCCTGTCCTTTAATACCATATACCAGTTTGTTTGTTTTGTCATTGTCAGGTCTGTCATTTCAGATCTGTCATTTACACATACACACATACAAAACCAATTCCACTACCACAAAACCATTGCACTTGCCTGTTTAATAATATCGCAATATTCAACTTTCATGAAATTCCATGTAATACTTACTACCTATGACACGTCTGATTTGCTCGTCACTGCAAGGATTCCTGCAGCATTTTTATATTATTACCTGGTATGAAAATTGGAACCGGGCTTGCAAGATCTCATTGCAGATAAAAAGAACCATCTCTGAAGGTATAATTCTTGCATGCATTAACACTTCGCTGATTTTAATATTTACTTATAAAAATATTTTTAATCGATTTTATTTCACCACAATTTTTTTGTTTTTAATCAATTTTTAATTGATTTTACATCTTTCAATTAATCATTTGCTTTCTAAGAATTTCTTTTATTAAATTTTTAAGTATTTTGTAATTTTTGAGTAATCTTGAACAGTAATTAATTAAGTTTTTAAAGATAATCTCACTTTAAGTAAATTTAACATTTAACTAATTTTTTATATATATAAATATATATATATATATATATATATATATATGAGTATATAATTTTTTGTTAGTTTTGTATGTATGTAATTTTAATGTAATTTTTATGTATATATTTTAATTAGTTTTACACTACAATTAAAAATTAGTTTTATATATATATACATATATAGTGTTAAAATTCTTCTTCTCTTCATTTTTTTTCTTTCTTTTTTTCACAATTGTTGAAAGGAATTTCTACTAACAAAAACGACCATTCCAGTGTAGCAATTATTGGAGACTCTCTTTATTGAAAGCATAAATTACACACTATATCCGAACATCATTTCAATCTTCTTACTCTCTCTTTTACTCTTTATTTTATTTTTCTCCTCTCATTTGCTCGCAAACTTACGTCTGCATAAATCACTTAATGGCTTAGTGAGCATAGACCATAACAGAGCAAAGTAGTTGCTTAAAGCAATATCCATGCTTATATTATATAAATGGATGTTGGTCTTGTTTTCTTTCTTATTTATTTCTCTCTTTTGCTTTGATTAATGCAAAAAAGAAAACTATAAAAGGATAAAAAATATAATAAAGCAATGAAAAAGGGGAAAAACAAAGAGACAGGCACTTATAAACGCGGACATCGCAACCTGCTTGCTTTAATCGCTTTCAAAATTCAAATTTTATAATGAAGAGCCATACTATCATAAAAGAAAAGTTTATTAAACATTGCACCTTTGAAACTAATTATCTGGTTTTGTCGCGTAATCAATTAATTAGAAAAAGCCCCTTCCAAATCGACAATTTCCGGAAGCATAAATCATATTTTACAAAATAATAAAACATATCTGGTCGAATCATAATTAATTTCAGATGCAGGTAGGTAAAATCAACAGACAAATTTTTGTTTCCGCAAGAAGATTGCGAGATACACAACCGCGTGCAAGCCGAAACGAAAAAGAAAGTACACAACAAAATCAATGAGAATAAATGAGATTAAGAATCGCACAATTGCGTTCATATAAAACTGAAACTCATCGTCAAAAACGATTGACATGAAGTAGACGATATTTAGTGAAACTCAAGCAGTTACTTCAAGGTGCCGAATTAAATTTTGAAAACCGATATTCTTTACATAACATTCACATGTAGCCCGGTCAGGCGGTGTACTATTTGTATGTGCTCCAGGGAGAAAACAAAAAATATTGTACATCGAATTTTTTCTTTTTTTTGAGCGCTCTGAAACAACGTTCAACGGGCCATGCAGTTTCTTATAAAGGGGGACGAACCAGAAAATACTTTCTCGTTCATATAATGATTCTATATTTATAGAACGCATGCTAACCAGTGATGGGAGTTTAGAATATGAGAGCCACTACCGAACACATCGAAAATAACTCACCACTAACAAGTACACAAACTATATGTGTCATAATGTAGAAAAATAGGTGATGAGCGGCACTTAAAGTAGTGCCATAGTAAGCGGAAGGAAAAACTTTATTAGATAAGCATTCGAAGCATTTGTTTTTTTTTTTAAACTATTTTATTAAAATATTCTCTCTCACACCTTCTAAGGGCTCTGATCCTGTTGTTATATCGAAAAAAAGAAATTTTGTTAAGTCGACGACACGAAATATAATGATAAAAGAGTAAGATCTTCTGACACATTATATTACACAGTTTTATACACCAGCGAAAGATTATGATAAACAAAGTTTGTTTCCATTTTTCATACACCGTACAAAGTATATATGTTCTCAATCAGGGAGATATTGAAAAAAAAAAACACGCGCCTTTATTTATATAACGAGTAATTTTGTGTTCAATTTGTCTGACAAATCATCAGGGAACAATATGAAGTAGCATAGCGTACAAAAGTCGTTCAAAAATTTATTACAAAAATAATAAATCTATGCGAAGAAAACCCACATGCTCTTTATGAAGCAAGTAACATTTTGCTGTGGTTTATGGTCTGGAGGTGTAATTGACTATTTATGTACCCTTCAGGGTTTTGTTTAACCTCATTACCTCGGATGAATTCCCCGTGACGTCTGGCGTAGCCAGTTAGGACCCATTTTATTTAATTTATACATCAATGATTTGCCCTCCATGATTAAATTCAGCGAGATCCTAATGTGTGCTGATAATGTGAAACTGTTTTCTTCCCTCTCTCTAGAATCGCAATCACATCAGCTTCAAAGTGAATAATTTGAATAATTTGGTTGCATGATGCTCTTTGAATCTTCTGAAACTAAACCTAAATAAATGTAAGAAGCTTTCTTTCTCAAGAAGAAAGTCATTCATTACTAAGTATTTCATTGATTCGCATAAGTTGGAGGACGTCGATACGTTCACAGATTTAGGCGTTCTATTTGACCATAGATTCCGTTTTAACTCGCATATTGAGCTCTCGTTAAGCAAAGCTAAGTCCGCGTTTGGTTTTATAAAGAGGTGGTCCAAAGAGCTTGGTGATCCTTACATTACTAAAAGGCTGTACATGTACATGTGTTTGGTTAGACCTATACTTGAGTACGCCTCTGTTGTGTGGTCTCCTTCATATAGGTGCTATGTAGATTCAATTGAATCTGTTCAAAAGCAATTCTTGCTGTTTGCCCTTAGGAATTTGGGTTGCGATCCGATCGCCTCTCTTCCTCCCTATAAAATTAGGTTGCTGCTGTTGGCCTTACCGTCGCTCGAGAAATGTAGATTTGTTCTTGGCGTTTCCTTCGTAATCAAAGTAATAAAAGGTGCTATTGACTGTGCATAATTTACCTATGTCGTACTTAAACTAGCTCTTAACCTTAAAATGTCACGATGAGTCGAAAATGAATTGTTGTTAACTGCTATCGGTTGCCAAGCTTATGCATGTTTGCGATGGCTTAGGAGTTCATTCACTAGTTGTGTACATGTTTTTTTCTTTTTTTTTCCTTCTTATTTGTTT